ACATTTTCATGGACAACATTTTGCTTATAATATCTTAGAAAATTCATCAAATTGCTATAAACACAAACATTGAAATAGCAGACCCCTGTATTTTAACATAAAACGATGTTGAAATATTCTGAAACACTATCTATCATGTCTATAGTTGTTATTAACTACATACAATTTCAAATGATTTTCTCAAACTATTTCCATACATCATGTACATTAGGGATATATAATGTATATGTTTCTGCCTTCATCTTAACAAAAATCTATTCATAATTATATACATGTATATTCAAAACTAAATGTATACCAAATTTACTAAGTTTTGTATTATTGTGACTTTATTTCCTGTGACCTTTTTTCCTGTGACTTTTTTTCCTGTGACTTTTTATCCTGTGACTTTTTTCCGTGACTTGTTTTCCTGTGACTTTTTTTCCTACATTCTAATGAACGGATACAAGTATCAACTAGTGTCATAATTTGTTGGTTACAGGTAATCCATTTATCTGATTGATCATTAATGATCATCAAAACAATGAATTCATACATGTGCAAATAGAATTGGTCAGTCGGCATTTCGTCATTTGGTATGAAATTGTTGATACCACACATTTACAGTAGTTTCATGATGAAAACGTGATTGACAGAGAGACAAAAACCATATTGAACATATTCAAACACTTCGTTTTTCTTGATTACGTTAAAAATGTCAAATTCAGACGTATTTTGTCAGTGCCTGCCCTCACTTTTGATCTATATAATAACAATAAAATGCTCCGCAGGGCGCAGCTTGATACGACCGCAGAGGTCGAACCCTGAACAGTTGGGGCAAGTATGGACACAACATTCAAGCTTGATACAGCTTTGCATTTGGATTGTGATTAAATATTTGACACAGCATAGGTTTCTGACACAGAATGAATGTGGTCTAAGAACTTAAAAATTTTAAATTGGACATTCACCTATTATCATGATTATGGTCCAATATCCAAAATCTAAATACATGGTTAGATTCAGCATATCAAAGAACCCCAAGAATTCAATTTTTGATGATATCAAACAAAGTTTAATTTTGGACCCTTTCGACCTCAATGTGGACAAAGTTGATAACGCGGCCCAAAAATCAAAAATCTAAATACATGGTTAGATTCGGCATATCAAAGAACCCCAATAATTCAATTTTTGATGAAATCAAACAAAGTTTAATTTTGGACCCTTTGGACCTCAATGTGGACCAATTTAAAAACGGGGCCCAAAATCCAAAAACTAAATACACGGTTAGATTCAGCATATTAAAGAAACCCAAGAATTCAAGAATAAAACCCCATTGAAATTGGTCAAGAAATAAGCAATTTATACGAAGTATCTTCTTTTGCACAATACTGTGCAATTAAATATTTCTTGCTATTGCGCAATACTGTACAATTGACAATTTCTTGCTATTGCGCAATATTGTGCTATTGGATATTTCTTGCTATTGCGCAATACTGTGCAATTGAAGATTTCTTGCTATTGCGCAATACTGTGCAATTGAAGATTTCTTGCTATTGTGCAATACTGCGCAATTGAAAATTTCTTGCTATTGCACAATACTTACTATATAATAATATACACATCCTGTTTGGTGTGTATCTCCTACCATATCATTATTATTTGCTTTTAAATATAAATCAGAAATAACCAACTTAAAATGGAAAATTTTAAAAGAAAAAAAAAAGGAAAAAAAAAAAAATCCCCCCCCCCAAATTTTTTGAACCCCCTTATGATTCATCACCCCCAAACTCAATCCCAGCCTTCCCTTTGTGGAATGGTACCTTGCAGTACAATTTCAGAGAGATCCATACACTTGAACACAAGTTATTGTCTGGAAACTAGAAAAATGTGTTTTTTGGCCCCTTTTTGGCCCCAAATTCCTAAACGTTTTGGGCAATTACCCCCAAACTCAAACCCAGCTTTCCCTTTGTGATATGGAACCTTGTAGTACAATTTCAGAAAGATCCATACACTTACACACAAGTTATTGTCCTGAAACCAGAAAAATGCTTGTTTTTTGCCCCTTTTGGCCCCTAATTCCTAAATTATTGAGGCAATTACCCCCATCATCAATCCCAGCCTTCCCTTTGTGGAATGGTACCTTGCAGTACAATTTCAGAGAGATCCATAAACTTGAACACAAGTTATTGTCTGGAAACTAGAAAAATGCTTATTTTTGGCCCCTTTTTGGCCCCCAATTCCTAAACGTTTCGGCAATTACCCCCAAACTCAATTCCAGCTTTCCCTTTGTGATATGGAACCTTGTAGTACAATTTCAGAAAGATCCATACACTTACACACAAGTTATTGTTATGAAACTAGAAAAATGCTTGTTTTTTGCCCCTTTTTTGGCCCCTAATTCCTAAAATTTTGAGGCAATTACCCCCAAAATCCATCCCAGCATTCCTTTTGTGATATGGAACCTTGTGGTACAATGTCAGAGAGATCCATACACTAACACACAAGTTATGTCTGGAAGTTACAAAAATGCTTATTTTTGGCCCCTAATTCCTTTACTGTTGGTACCATAACCCCCAAAATCAATCCCAACCTTCCTTTTGTGGTATTGAACCTTGTGGTAAAATTTCATAGAGATCCATTCACTTTAACTAAAGTTAGAGTGCGAAAACCAATGTGTCTTCGGACGACGCCGGACGACGCCAGACGACGACGACGATGACGACGACGACGCCAACGTCATACCAATATACGACCACAAAAATTTTTTTGCGGTCGTATAAAAAGGGCAGCCATTATTTAAATGTGCTTCTACTGTGTATAATCCTCCGATGAGTAGGAGCACACCCCAAATTCAAGAAAGAAACTATATTATAAATTTGTACCTTGAAGAAACCTGGTGGTCCTTACTTTTATTTGTATTGCAAAATACCAAAATTGTGTCGGTCCTTCGCAAAATTTTGGTATTCAAAACCTTCTGACCACCACCATGTGTAACCAATCTCTAGCTAATGGTTAAATTGAAGGTCACATGAATACGGATTCAATAAGATAAAATTATTCACTTGCAAGTGAATAATTCATCAGCGATGTTTTTTTAATTTATTTTGACAAAATTGAACCAAACTGGCTTCTAAAAGTGAATTATTATTTCACTATTTCACTTTCATTAATGATTGAACAAAAAAAATCTTTTTTAAAAAATTTTTTTATATCTCGTACCTAATGCCCCTTTAAAACATTAAAACAATAAGAAATAGTGTGGCTGAATCAACTATTGCAGAAACGACTGTGGCCTAAATAGTACTCAAGTGTTCTCCCCAGAAATTTTGTAAGGAGCAAAATTTCAAGGGAGTGTTGCTCTTTTTTAGAGTGAACTATTGTGACCTGAAGCAATCAGTCATAAATCATGATATGCAATGCAATATGAATTTCTACTTCTACTTTGTAGTGACAGCCTTCAACACATTGAAGTTTATGTCACTTGTAATACGCATGGCTTAGTGGAGACGTATATACAGTGAAAATTAACAATTTTATAATTATCAACAAAATTGATTATAACATTTTTACATAGTCATGATCATGATGATAGTGCACATTTTTATGTTATTTATTTTTTAATATTAACATGATTAAGATAAAACTATTTACACATGATAAATTTACTGACTGTAGGTGTAGGTTGAAACAGCTGCTTTTTTTTTATGTGTTTAATAATGCACAGTATTAATAAATAATAAGAATATATATATGTGAAATAAATTCATTTTTAAACACAAAAACTTCTAATTCCATCATCTGCCTTTTGCTTAACCCCTTTTTTATTTGCAGAGAACATGTTGATTTGGTAATAAAATTGAATACATATATGTTTAGATATATATATGGTATATAACTTTTTAAAACAAAAATATTGTAACGGACAGCTGACCAGTTTCCATAGTTTGATATTACGCTTCCATGTGAATAATTGTCAAAACGTTTCTTTGGCAGGTAGACATGGTTGATATAAACGTAACTTGACAAATTTAAGACCAGTGAAATTTTTACATAAATGGTCAAGTAATCGCACACCAACAATGCGTAAATACAATGTATTTGCGATCTATTTCTTCAATTTTTGCACTGAAGTTTTTAAAAACGTTTATTTTCTACAAAAAATATCTACATGTATTTTCTTGATAATCATTTACGCTATAACCTGATTACATCTTCTAATAAGGCTGGCACAGGTAAAGCAGAGACTTGTATTATCAGATATCGCGTAACATTGGCTGACCTCTCAGCAGTGATATATGCAACTTGACAATTTTAACTAACATGGTACTGTGACCAAAACACCTGTGGCCAACTGGTTGTGTGGCCAAAACATCTTGAAAGCTTTGGGAAGAAGCCTGAATATCCAAATAGTTAATTATTTAAAATTTACCAAACCTTTTGCTACATAAAGGCATATTTCCCCCTTTCTTTATCCTACAAGAGAAAATTTTCGAAGAGCCGTGGATTGTGGAATATTGTCCTCATATCACCAACGTGACCAAAATGTAGGCATCGTCACTTTCAACACGTCGAGCGAACAGGTGAAAAAGTTTGATCTTATACTGCACAAATTATTAAGGAAATTAAAATCTAAAAAGTTGGTCATCCTCCCTTCAGTCATACAGGAATTAAGGTACTTACGGAACATAAATTATTTCTAGATTACCCTGCAGATTGACAATTCTGAAAGTGCTTGAAACTTTAATAGAGCAGGGATACAGGCGCGCCTTCTATCTGGTAAATGACGTGATAAAGGCGTGCGAAATTGACTATCTTTTCCAGTGAAAGACATGATTCCAGAAGTAGCCTATTGACAGAAACAAGTGCCTGTGTTCTTACATCATACATGCATATATTTAGATGATATGCAGACTAACAAAACTTTCCTGTATAAGACAAATTCTATCAATATTATGTCAGAGTTTCCAAAATATTAGATCGGATTGCTCAAGATGGACGAAGATTGAATATCATCATACCGTGTTATCTTCCAGTTCTTCCCAACTATCGAGTACGTCTCCAACTAGATCAGATTCATCAGTATTCATATCTTATTTGGGTCTAAACAGTTATGACAGAAATGAAATATTAATCAGGCAATTTTTCTCCATTTATGAAATTTGAAACCATGACAAATTGTATCTGATTTTGGTGCCAAAAGTTGCTTCTTTCAGTTTAATTCATCATGTCGTTTGATGTTGGAATCTGGTACTAAATTAACGGTAAAAATTTAATTCTTAGACGGAGAAAGGATTACTTGCGACCGAAAACCAGTACCAAACAATTTAATATTCTAATATTAACGGAAAAGGTCCTGAAATAATATCCGGAAAAAAACTACAATTTTTATACGACCGCAAAAAAATTTTTGTGGTCGTATATTGGTATGACGTTGGCGTCGTCGTCGTCGTCGTCCGGCGTCGTCGTCGTCGTCGTCGTCGTCGTCGTCCTGCGTCGTCGTCCGAATACACATTGGTTTTCGCACTCTAACTTTAGTTTAAGTGAATGGATCTTTTTGAAATTTTACCATAAGGTTAAATACCACAAAAGGAAGGTTGGGATTGATTTTGGGGGTTATGGTACCAACAGTTAAGGAATTAGGGGCCAAAAAGGGGCCAAAAATAAGAACTTTCTAGTTTCCAGACAATAACTGTGGAACAGTGTATGGATCTCTCTGAAATTATACTACAAGTTTCCATACCACAAAGGGATGGTTAGGATTTGCTTTGGGGGGTTATGGCTCAAACCGTTTAGGAATTAGGGGCAAAAAAGGGGGAAAAACAAGGTTGTCCTGGTTAATGGACAAATACTTTAGTACAAAACATAATTTAAAGCAGTGTAAGGGAGATAAATCAAATACATCATTGAAATTATCTCCCTTACACTGCTTTTAAATTATGTATAAAGTAATGGTTAATGAACAATAAAGATAATTTAAAACAGTGTAAGGGAGGTAATCCAAATACAACGTTTTGGTTACTTCCCTTACACTGCTTTTAAATTATGTTTAAAGAAATGCATATTTATAAAGGAAGACCAGTAAAAATATCTGCAAATGTTGCATCATTTTATTTTACAAAAAAATCTATATGAAAGATTTGACACTATATTTTTAATTCTTTTATAAAATAGATTAAGTTAGCACTATGGTAAAATTAAATGGGTAATTATGGTTGCCAACTCCATTGGAAATTTGAATTGAGATTATGACCATATCTTGAGGGAAAGAATTTTTTGGGGGAAAAAAGGGGGGGGGATAAAAAGAAATTGTGGGGGGTAAATTTTTTCTCATTTCAGATTTCAGAAATTAAAAAGAATTATTCTTCAAATATTATTTTTTTTTCAAATTTCAAATATTGAAAAATTTCAAGAAGTAATCTTTAATTGCACAGTATGGCACATTAGATTTGTAAAATCTTTGATCACATTTATTTATTTGTTATGCCGAATCTAACAGTGTATTTAGATTTTTAATTTTGGGTCCAGTTTTCAAAATAGTCTACATTAAGGTCCAAAGGGTCCAAAATTAAACTTTGTTTGATTTTAGCAAAAATTGAATATATGAGGTTCTTTGATATGCTGAATCTAAACATGTATTTAGATTTTTGATTTTTGGCCCAGTTTTCAAGTTGGTCCAAATTGGGGTCCAAAATTAAACTTTGTTTGATTTCAACAAAAATGGAATATATGGGGTTCTTTGATATGCTGAATCTAACCATGTATTTAGATTTTTTATTTGTGGACCCCGCTATCAAATTGGTTCATATTGAGGTCAAAAGGGTCCAAAATTAAACTTTGTTTGATTTCATCTAAAATTGAATTATTGGGGCTCTTTGATATTCCAAATCTAACCGTGTATTTAGATTTTTAATTTTGGGTCCTGTTTTTTAAATTGGTCTACATTAAGGTCCAAAGGGTCCAAAATTAAACTTAGTTTGATTTTAACAAAAATTGAATTCTTGGGGTTCTTTGATATGCTGAATCTAAACATGTGTTTAGATTTTTTATTATGGGCCCAGTTTTCAAGTTGGTCCAAGATAGGGTCCAGTATTTAAACTTTGTTTGATTTCAACAAAAATTGAATATATGGGGTTCTTTGATATGCTGAATCTAAACATGTATTTAGATTTTTGATTATGGGCCCAGTTTTCAAGTTGGTCCAAATTGGGGTCCAAAATTAAACTTTGTTTGATTTCAACAAAAATTGAATATATGAGGTTCTTTGATATGCTGAATCTAACCATGTATTTAGATTTTTTATTTGTAGGCCCCGCTATCAAATTGGTTCATATTGAGGTCAAAAGGGTCCAAAATTAAACTTTGTTTGATTTCATCAAAAATTGAATTATTGGGGTTCTTTGATATGCCAAATCTAACCGTGTTGTTAGATGTTTAATTTGGGTCCCGTTTTTTAAATTGGTCTTCATTGAGGTCCAAAGGGTCCAAAATTAAACTTAGTTTGATTTTAACAAAAATTGAATTCTTGGGGTTCTTTGATATGCTGAATCTAAACATGTGTTTAGATTTTTGATTATGGGCCCAGTTTTCAAGTTGGTCCAAGTTGGGGTCCAAAATTAAACTTTTTTTGATTTCAACAAAAATTGAATATATGGGGTTCTTTGATATGCTGAATATAACCATGAATTTAGATTTTTTATTTGTGGGCCCCGCTATCAAATTGGTTCATATTGAGGTCAAAAGGGTCCAAAATTAAACTTTGTTTGATTTCATCAAAAATTGAATAATTGGGGTTCTTTGATATTCCAAATCTAACCGTGTATTTAGATTTTTAATTTTAAGTCCTGTTTTTTAAATTGGTCTACATTAAGGTCCAAAGGGTCCAAAATTAAACTTAGTTTGATTTTAGCAAAAATTGATTTCTTGGGGTTCTTTGATATGCTGAATCTAAACATATGTTTAGATTTTTTATTATGGGCCCAGTTTTCAAGTTTGTCCAAGTTGGGGTCCAAAATTAAACTTTGTTTGATTTTAACAAAAATTGAATATATGGGGTTCTTCGATATGCTGAATCTAACCATGTATTTTGATTTTGGACATTGGACCATAATAGGTAAATTAAAAAAATTCAAGTTCTTAGACCACATTCTTTCTGTGTCAGAAACCTATGCTGTGTCAAATATTTAATAACAATCCAAATTCAGAGCTGTATCAAGCTTGAATGTTGTGTCCATACTTGCCCCAACTGTTCAGGGTTCGACCTCTGCGGTCGTATCAAGCTGCGCCCCAGCGAAGCATTTTATTATATAGTTTTTAGATGTTCAAGTTTTCGCAGAAGATTTGATTTAATGATGGATATTCATTTCTATGTTTATTTGCTTGAGTGTCAGGGTTGAACTCAACCCCCAATTACAAAGAGAGCGGTGTAACATCATAAAATAAGAACAAACCAGGGGCGCAGCTAGACTAGCATTTAAGTATAGGCACCATTCGAAAATATTTTGGACCATTTATGCAGAAAATAATTGTCGATGTGCACGCAACTACGTTTTTGCATACGGGTTTCCAATATGACCTTTTGAAAACAACGTATTTACCCTGAGCAATTACCATTTTCTTGGGAAAACATTTATACCCAAATTGAAAGTCTGCCACTCAGAAGGCATACATTTCGCCTAGTGAACCTTTTAGTGTTATATGTCCACTTTAAATAAAAATGGAGATAGCTATATTTTTGAGATCCGAGTGCAATGGTCTATCTCCCTATACAACTGTAATACGATATTTCTTCACTCTTAAGAGTTTTTGTCAGAACTACAATGTTCTATCACCACACTCCCATTGGATCATAATGACTTATTCATCTAGTTAGTTCAGAGAAAAATATTTTTATAGTGTTGTATCTCCACTATTTCTCATGTATTTTTGCTGTTAAATAATTGTTATCAAAATTATCTTAGTAGTACTATGAACTTATAAATGGTTTGTATGGTTTGAACTCAATCCATGAGCAATTCTTGGCAAATCCAGCAGCACAGAATTGAGGATAATTAGTATTACAAAGTTATAAAATCCATGTTCTATCTATGGAAATATAGGGATAAATTTCTAAAACTACATTGTTTGTAGTGAAATATTCTATCTCCTAAAAAGGGTATGCTTTATTTATCTAAGTTGCTTGGCTATTAAAAAAAAACAATCAAACAAAGAGTTACTCTGCATGTACATAAATTCGATTCCTATATAAATTTTTATGTCTCAGTCAAATGTTTATGATATTGAGCTTTTAAACTTTAATTTAATTGTTTACCACTATTGCCAAATGGGAAATACATCATTATTAGATTCACAAGACGATTTGTAGATTACTCTTTTAGCATATATAAATATTATACCCATGACTGCTAGTAACAGCAATGGACAAATGATTGAAGACTTTTACGTAAAAGGCCCTAGGCATTCTTCAAATTTTATTTTGTTATCATGATAATGGCTGTTTGAGAAAGGTGTGCACCTAAACGGATTTCGAAAGAAAATAACAAGAAGAGTCAAGCAGCACGTCAATTGAGAAAAATAAATGTTTTCATTTTAATCGACGCATATTCAAATTCTATGTGCAGGTCAGATTCTGTGACCAATTTAATGAAATATGATTAATACTTACATTGTTTAGAAAAAAAATGCCCATCATATTTGAAACCTAGCGTGTGTCTTCTGTGTAGAATGTTAAAGTGTTAGATGGGGAACCTCTAATTGGCAAATTTGTGTATAGGCACGTGCCTAGTCGAGCCTTAGGTAGCTACGCCACTGCAAACTATAAAAATCAGTTGAAAAGGACGGTTGACTCGTCACATTTGTTTGCGAATGTCATTTGGCAGCTCATTCCTTCATTCAGCATGAGGGGCATGTCCGTGTCATATTTGTTTTTCGTAAATTGTTTTGTTATAAATTTGGCCGTTAGTTTTCTCAATTGAATTGTTTCATTTTTTTTTTTTTTTTTATGTCGGAGGCCTTTTATAACTGGCTCTACGGTATGGGGTTTTCTCATTGTTGAATGCCGTACGGTTGCCTATAATTGCTTACATCCAGTTCATTTGAACTTTGGTGGATAGTTGTCTCATTGGCAATCATACCTCATCTCCTTATTTTTATATAAAGGTTATTCTAATATCTTCCATTCCATTTTATTTTTTCTGATCTATTTTCCAACTTTTTTGTCTTCCTGTGAATAAAATGAGATCTGGA